AACAAACTCGGCACACAAGGTGTAGCTATATTCATCAGGAGTGAGCATCTGCTACTCATCACACGACTACAGCCTTGTCAGCTTGTACCCGCTGCAAAACCATCTCTTGAGCAAGTCCATCAAGAAATCAAAGTCTCCGCAACACGGTATCCATCAAAACATAGTTACAAGAAACTGACTTCTGGCAGCGTCATGGATATCGATCTGGAAGAAGATTATGTCTCCTGGCCTACTGTTTACAAGTCAAAGAATGAGCCTGTCGCCCAGCAAAATGTCACCTATCGCGACGTAGGAGTTCAAAGCCTCCCTGACAGCAACGCTGACGCATTCCAAACAATCTATAATCGCGAGCCCAAGCAAGATGAGCTAGTCAGCAAAGTCCTCACTGAAGCCATTGACCGCTACACATCTGGCGTCGGATCTGGCCCCTACGAAATTATTGATGGCGAGCCATTTCCTGCTCCGATGTCTTTAGAAACTGGAGAGACGTATGAGGACGCTTCATTCCAGACCCTCGGAAATACTGATTGCAAGATCTCCATTGTGCGAGCAAAGGCGAAAGCGTCGGTCTTAGTCGCCCAACAGCGCCCTGTCGCCCAAGCGGCGGGTTACAAGATCTGGTGCGAGAAGAGAGACGAATTGATCATACATACGGAGCAGTGTCCTATTCGCATTCGGATCAATGAAGACGGATATGTTACTGATACTGATGCCCATGCGGTCATGCTTCCAAATATCTGTGGTGAAGAGATCGATTCGACTGCTGCATCGTTGGAGATTGAAAGTGCACAGGTGTGGAGCAGGACACTGCCTTATAGCCGCTTCCACGCAGAGGCTTCTACTGTAACACCCTTTTCCAAACCCACTGAGCAATACACTGATTCCAACAGTATCTGAACCGTATCCCATTCTTGGCGCCTGGCAGTCCCATGGAGATCTGCCAACCATGGGTACCCGAGCAGTTCGTGGCGATGGCTGACACCAACGAATCCAAAATGTCACCAGTCAGCAAACGCGACCGCTGGGATAAATTTCCAACACCTACACTTCCTCCGCCAAAGCCCCGCGTAGCTCCAGAGCGCATCGCAGCTGCCCGCCGTCTAGCCGGCAGACAGCACATGCATCAAGATCTAACCGGAGCCCAGCACACCACCGACGCCATGGACATTGATCCCACTTACGGAGCATCAGAATACACTTACGACCGTTCTAGGCCCACCTCACCTCCTCCTCAGAACCTCTCGCCGGGTCGAACCTCCGCACCTCACTCACCCGCCCCTAGACAAACTAGAGACAATCTAACTAAAGCACCAGCTAATCCTGATACCAGCTTCGCAGACTACGTCACCAGCATCCGCCGCAACAAACTCGACCAACTCGACCAGCCCGCCTACGAAGTCAGCGCGCCGCTCAACTACGATGAGGAGGGTTCGGCGGCGTGGTGGGAGGCACAGGATGTAGATGTGTATGCTACGTCCCGTGCGGTGGAAGATGCGCGGCGTGAGGCGGTTGCTGAGGAACGCGACACGTTTTACGGTGTTAATCGCGAGGAAGACGGGATGGAGGAATAGGGCTGTGCCTGGTTCTCCCCCCCTTACGGATTAAGGAGAAGATGGAGAAGGGGAGCTGTACGACATTAGGACGAGATCCGGGTGTCGGAACTAAGGTATCAGGGCTGGACATGGGAAGGAGGAGTGGGAGTTACTTGGGGAGATTGTGTAGGATACATCAAGTGAAGACGATTGGAGGAAATAATGGCGGGTGGATAACAAACGGTGTACCATTTGAAGGCGTAGCAGCTACGGATACGCTTGGTGGGAAATCATGGGTTCGTGAGAACAACATCAGTCTAATATGCGAATCAAAACACTCCACTCCCCCCATATCATCATGGAAGAAAGAAAAAGCAGACGCCGTGAACTTTCCGAGTAAAAACAAACAAACTGGACACCCACGGGTATCATCATATATCTAAGCATATCATCCTCGTGAAAAAAAAACGGCATAAATATCCGAAATCACAAATTCCCGATAACGACCATAAACCGCAACTTCCCATCCGTCTTCTTGATCACAGGTGGGGGATTCAAGCCCCCACCCAGCGCATCCTCTGTCTCTCCACTGAGCGTAATCTCATCCAGCATAAGCGTACTACTCTTCCAGCCCCAACTCTGACTAAAATTGAACCGATCGGGTGCACTCTCGTATATGCTCAACATCCTACCCCCCTTCGATGGGCTATAAATCTTAAAGTATGTTTTGATAGTGGGGCGGGCGTCGACGTAAGGAGGGAGAGCGGGGATCAAGGAGCGGGTTTTACGCTGAGAGCGGGATAAGAGAGAGGGGTTTGTGTAGGCTGCGGTGTCGGAGTCTTGGTCGGAGTCTGAGGTGTCAGATTCGTGTTCGGAGGGGGAGTAAGGGGCGTGGGCGCAGGAAAGGGAGGAGGGAGAGTCGCTGGATTGGGGGAGGGAGGTGTTCATGTTGTGGAAGCCCCATTGTGGGAGGCCGCGCGAGGGAATGCGCGACATGTTGCTGCGTCGCGAGCTGAGGGTGTTACCGGAGAAGATGGAGCCATGGAGACCCGGAGAGCCTAGTGTTGGGTCGGGGTCGCCGCCGCTGCCAGATGTGTCGTCTTCGGCAGTCGAATCTACGAAGGGCACACGGGTACTGCGTCTCCGATCGCGTGGATCACTACGCATAAGCATTTCTCTTTCCAAGCGTCCGATGCGCTCGTCAACTGTGCCATCGTTTTGCTGGCTGAGAACACTGGCTTGGACAGTCTCATCTACCTCACGCTCCTTTGCGCGATGGAGGTACACACCAAGTTGAACGTTCTTGGCAGACCGGACCTTTTGGATGTAAATGTTCCAGAGAGATCCGGCATACGATACTGTGCGCGAGTATACACGCTTCTTCTCTTTGAGGAAACGAGGGTTTGGAAACTCTGCAGAGAAGCGGAAAGGAGGGAACTCAGTGTAAGCAATCGGCCTTGGCTGCCCAGCGTTTCCACCACCAGCGGATATCGGGCGTCGTGGAAAGTCCATACGCGTATTTGGATTAGTCAGCGTTGCAGGAGTAGATGCGAAGTCCGTTGCCCATTGAGCATCCTCGGGCTGGAGGGTAGCCGACAGGCGCGAGGCATGGCGCTGGAATGAGCTTGAAGTCGTAACGACAGGCTCAGCTCCATTGCCGAGTACAATGTTGCAATCTGAGCTTGGAATCCAAAACTTGCGTGGCTTTCCATTTCCGTCCCAGCTATCCGACTCGAGTAGGCCACTGTCGGCAGCGTTCTCTACCTGTTGGCCCTTTGAGGTCAACTCGCTCCCGCTCTTGGTAGCCACGTTGAATGCTTCGGGGCCAGGGAGCGATTGCGATAGGCCTAGTTCCTGTGCGTTTTCATCCGTGTTGAGCACCCTTTGACGAAGAGCGAGTTGTTGCCAGAGCGAGCTGGAAATCACACTGTCAGGCATGACAGGGAGACCAAAGACATCGCGGGCACTCTTGATGAACTCAAGCTGCTCAAACTCCATGTGAATGTAATGGATGCCTTCATCCAGGAGCACAAGTATACGTTCAATGTCGGGTAATGTGTACAATGCGAGCCATTCAGCGTGAGCATCGGACGATGAGTGCGCGGCAGTGAGGGCGTTTTGCCGATAGACGCCGTCGAAACGAACAGCCATGAAGCGTAGGGAGTTCGGCGCCTGCGGTACAGGCTTCTGGCCTCGTTGAATCAATCCAGCATCGATAGCTGCCAGTCGCAGTCGGCGATCAAGAAGACGCTTTGCAAGCACCCACCGATCCCACTCGCTATCTACAAAGAAGCCATCGGAGCCCACCAGCTCGCGAATGATGTCTCCCGGCATATCGTCCCAGTACTTGAGCGGCATCTCCCAACCATTCCTACTTAGCATAGCCTTGGCTGACTCGAGAATCCGATCGCCGGAGCGGCCGTAGTAATTGGAGGTGACGAGCCGGATGAGGTAGGCAAGTGTCTCTGGGGCCATCTGACGCAGGATGGATTCGATCGCCGAGTCTATGAGGTCCTGCATTTCCAGCCAACATCCTGTCGCGAATAGACCCACAGCTTCGGCATCCATGTCTTTCGAGATGTCGACGCCGTAAAGCTTCCGTATGGCAAGCTCAAATGCGGCTTGGGTGATGCTGGAGTCGATCTCCTCGGGGTGCAGAGTGACTTCTTTGGACTGGCTTTCGAGCCATGGCTCAGAAAGGGCAGTGGTGAAGAATGGTGCACGATCGAGGATCAAGCGATGCAGAGAGTAGCGTTGGCCAAAGGCTATGACGGTAATATCTGAATGGCGGCCTTCAAGCAGTCCACGGGAATAGAGGTGGTCTGGGAGGGGAATTGCTTCGCCCGAGGCTGCCAAGATTAGCTCCACACTGCAGCAGATATAGACGGGTATTACCTCGCAGATACAGGGGACCCGTTGCGTTGTTGTAGGATGGAGCACGTGAGGCTGAGGCTGCAGCGCTTTCGCTGAACAGGGTACTTATTTCTGTACGAAAAGCATGCTCTGTACGCATAAGATCCAGGGTGGTGCGTCTTTTGCCCGAGTCTTCAAGGGGCGTATTTGGATCATCGGCGCTCTTTTGTGCCTGCTCAATCTCCGTCTGTAGTTGGACTATAGGCGGGCGTTCTTCCGGGGCCAGTGGCCTTGACGGCCGCTTCGGCATGCTGGGATGGTTTGCGAGAGAGGGCATGGAGCTGGAGTGACTGAGGACCCTCCTGTGGATTGCACGGGGTCTCGAACCTTCACCGACTGAAGCAGATGGTTCAGGAGGAGGGACTGAAGTTATATGGGGCGAAAAGAGGCTGGCGGGTGGAGTGCTACGTAAGCCTGAGCCATTGTCTGTACCCTCAGTGTCGCCGGACGTGCGCACCGAGCCATCAAGGAGGGTTTGGGCGTCATGATTGTGGATGCTGCTCCCTTGGCCGGCAGGCGGCTGGTGGGCGTTATCCATTCTAAGTCTGCTACAGGTTATATATGGAGCACATTGGTTGGCGAGGCTTTGGCGGCCGGACACGCGGTGAAGAACGGGCGGGGTAGTAGTAGTAGCAACACGCGGCGTCTGACACAGCACCAGTGTCCAGGACGCTCGAGGAAGAAGAAAAAGAAAAGAAGAGTCACGACTGATTTACAGCGAGGGCGGCGGGGAGGAGAGGACAAGTCACGGGGCCACAACACAGACAGACTAGGCACATCACGCATCCGCTGGCGAGTGCTGGCAAACGGCGATCTTCGCTGGCTAGGGTCCGGTGATGCAGTTGCGACGGTGCCGAGTGGGGCGCGCCTTCCGTCTGTCAACGCCGCATGCAGGGGACCAATGCTTGGCACCGCTTCCGGACCCTTGTACCGCCGAAAATCCGTAGTCGATGACATGACGACCTTCTCTTCTTCTTCTCTCTTGTGAGTTGCCCATTGTCTGTCGCCCGCAATGGCTTCTATCTTCCAGGCTCTCCCGCAGCTGCGCACCGCTGCTCCCCATCTCTCCCGCCGACTATTTTCCTGCAGACAGTGCCTCAATTCGCCCATTCGCTCCGCCGTCCCCGCATCCACTCATTCGGCCCGCCCGTCTGTCTTGCAATCGGTGAGATGGAAGTCAACCCAGCCACTTCGCAGCAGCGCCACTATTCAGGCATCGAATTCGAGTACCGTATCACTTGCTGAAGCTGCAGCTGCAGCAGAGGGAAAGTTGAGCAGCTTCCCCAAGACGACATCTAAGAGCGTCGCATACTGGCTGCTGGGCAGCGCCGCCAGCGTCTTCGGCATAGTCGTCTTTGGTGGATTGACCCGCCTTACAGAGTCAGGGTAGGCATGAACCTTGTTGCGCCAATTGCAACTGCTAACTCGCACAGGCTGAGCATCACCGAATGGCGCCCTGTCACCGGTTCACTGTGGCCCATGAGCGAGGAAGAATGGACGAGCGAGTTCAATAAGTACAAGGCCTCGCCCGAATTTGCTCTGCTCAACTCTTCCATGGACCTTGCCGACTTTAAGCAAATCTACTTTATGGAATGGGCGCATCGTCTCTGGGGTCGTGTCATTGGTGTCACCATGGTCCTTCCGACTGCTTATTTCATTGCCCGCCGCAGAGTTACGCCCTCAATGGCGTGGAAACTTGTCGGCATCTGCGGCATGATTGGCTTCCAGGGTGCCATTGGATGGTGGATGGTCAAGAGCGGCCTCAAGGACGACCTTTTCGAGCCAGGCAGCCACCCCCGCGTCTCCCAGTACCGCTTGACTGCCCATCTTGGCACTGCCTTTGCTGTCTACTGCTCCATGATCCTCACTGGCCTTTCCATTCTGAAGGAACACCGCATGCTCGCAGATCCTGCAAAGGCTGCCGAGACCATTAGGGCGCTACAACATCCGGTCCTGCGCGTATTCAGGGGTTCCGTCGTTGGTCTTACCCTTCTTGTCTTTACAACTGCTATGTCGGGTGCCCTGGTTGCTGGTTTGGATGCGGGGCTGATCTACAATGAATTTCCCTGGATGGGCTTGGGTCTTGCCCCACCCAAGAAGGAGCTCTTTGATCCATTCTACAGTCACGTCCCAGACCACTCAGATCTCTGGTGGCGCAACATGCTGGAAAACCCTTCCCTGGTCCAGCTCGACCATCGCATCCTCGCAACCACTACCTTTACTGCTGTCATGAGTCTTTTTGCCTACACTCGTTTTTCAAAGGGAGTTCGCACCACGTTGCCCAAGGAGGCCCACAAGGGTGCTCAGGGCTTGGTCCATCTCGTCTCCCTGCAGGTTACTCTTGGTATCAGCACTTTGATCTACATGGTCCCCACCTGGTTGGCGTCTGCTCACCAAGCTGGAGCGCTTGCACTGTTGACAGGAGCTGTCGTCCTTTTCAGCAGGATATCCATGCCACGACGCGCCGTCCTTCGCCAGATCATGAAACCCCAGGCCTCTAGGACGACTGCTACACCTCACATTACTTCCCGTTTGGAAGTGGCCAAGGTTGCCGATAAGTCATTATAGTTCATGACGCAATCCCACTTGTAGGTCTCTCGTCTAGTAGCACTGTACAGATTCAGCATAGACCAGCTTGTACGATATGTAGGTTATCACCGTGTGCATCGCACCGTTACTCTCCTCAGGTTATTTTCTTTTTTCCATCTATGCGATTACGCCACCGTTTCACGAATGAATCTGTATCGAGTCGCTTATCATGCATACTCGTGCTTTGAAGTACCGTGCACATGCTGATATCAATGGTTTGACTTGCATCACGTGGGCTTATCACTCATTCCAATCAGCCTCTGTAGTACGTACGTAATTTTTTTCATTCTCAGTCCAACGCACGATTACATAATCCCCGACTACAGTACATACACAGCTCTTGGCCACATAGTACACCAATCCACCCTGTTCCTGCATCCACACGTGTCCGGGCCATGCAGACCCTAGCCACCCTCGTGCACTCTTCTCCAATTTTAGTCTGATGCTTCGAAATCCTACAAGAAAAAGCAAAAGTCAAAGCACACCCCAGGTATCTTTAAACGCCTGTCAAACAACAGAAAGCAATGAAAGGAAGAAGCGATTAAAACGAAGCCTCCTCGACCCAAAACGCCTTGAGACTATTAATTAGATAAAGCGAAATACACTTCAAGCGCCGCCTTTGCTCCTCATAAAGCCGATTCAGCGTCTCTGCTGAAAAGGACAAATTACTGGCAAACACACTGCACGAGGCGGGCGCCACAGCCGCTATCTTCGCGCCGAGAAGATCCATAGACGCGCGCACGTGATACAACTCGTCCAGCAACTGCTGCACTGCTTTAGGATCCCCCTGCAGGACAACCGGCGGCGACACACTGCCGCTACTGCGATTACTCCTTGCGGAATCCGGGCGAGTCGGGGACGAAAGCACTGACGGAGACGAAGATGATGCAGATGAGGAGCGGGATTTGCGTCTGGAGTAATCCGTGGTGATTGGGGCACCGAGGGTACGGGACGCAGTGACGTATGCGTCTAGGACTTTTGACATTGTGAGGCAAACGATGGCGAGGAAGTAAGCGTCGTGGGACGAGTCGCCGTGCAGGATGGCGCTGATTGTTGCAGTGGCTTTGCTGCATTTGTCCATGAGGCTGCGGAGGCGGAGGGGCTGCTGGGGCCCGGCTCCAAAGAGGGGGATTGTAGTGCTACTGCTGCTACTACTTGTCGAGTCGCTCAGACAGCAGAGGTGCTGCATTAGCTGCAGAGCCATTGTAAGTCCCTCCTGCTGCTGCTGCGAGGCTGCGGCGTGGTGCATGGCGGTTTGGCAGTAGGGCATCTGCATCTCGGAGAGCAGCTGGGCGGTTTGCTCGCCCGTCTGGGTTTGGCCCGGCAGACAAGCTGCATCGAGGAGCATGCCTAGGTCGGGCTGCTGCGGTGACGGGTCCCGGGGCGAGTGCCCAGGCGCTGCTACGTCGTTGCCCTGCGTGTATGCTGCATATGCTGCTGTGCCGTGAGGAGGCATGCCGCTGGTGCCGCCGAGCAGCGGTTGGGCCAGCACGTCGGATGCCGCCGCGTCTGTAGTAGCACTTGCACTGCTTGCATCGTACACCTGGTCCAGTGCCGACATGTCGACGTCTGGGAGGAGAAGCGAGAAGTAGTCGTCGTGGACGGTACTCATCTCGGGTAGCATGCTACCGGCAGTATCGGCGTCGAGTGTCTCGAGCCCTGGCTCGATCATGTACATCTCTGCTGCTCCATCCTGCGGCTCTACACACCCCGACATGTGAATGTCTGGTGTGTCGTACATGCTCGACGACGACGACGTTGTTGTTGTTGTGGATGTTGCCGTCGTCGTTGAGCGGCTCAAACTCTTGCGTCGAACACCAGCATCACTGCTCTGCTCTTTGGCATCGCTGTCTCGCCGTGCCAGGGCCTTCCTGCCTGTCCGCTGTGTGACGAGGTATTCACACTTTGTACCCCTCTTGGCGCATCGAGCGCACTGCGGCTTGTCCTTGGAGCACTTGGTCTTGGATGCCGCGCACGATTGGCAGCTATCGCGCAGCCGGATGCCGGTTGGCGGCGGCATGGGTGGTGGGGGAAAATGGGGAAATTTGGGTGGTGTGATAGAGTTTAGACTGTGGAGGGGTGGACTCTCCAACCCGACGAGCAGGTTTGGACCAAGAGTGCTGTGCAACCTACTCAGAGGGATGGGTGTCGTCGATCAGATTGCGTTTGGGTTTGAAGATCTTTGCTTGCGCAACGAAAAGAAGAAAACAAAAGGATATAAAGATGCCTGGAGTTTAAAGTATGCAACTCGGTTTCGGGTCTTTCGTAGCCTTTGTACCTGTAGATGCATGAACATGGGCGTTGGTTTTTCTGGGGGATGCTATTGCCAAGTTGGACTTACAGCGGAGGCGGCCCTTTCTCGCAGCGCGAATTGCTCCTATCTATCGTTTGCCAAGGTACCCTGTGGCCTTATCCCCCGAAGGCTGTAAGAGCTTAATTGTACCCTCGTTCTTTTACAGATGTGCCTGTTTTTTTTTACCTTTAACCCAGTTCGACTATTTTTCCAGTTTAGCAAAACGATTATCACATTGATGGGATGCAAGCCACACGTGTAGTCGTCGTGGACAACCAATCATTGCGGTTTATTTGGTGTCCGATGGAATCTTTTCGAAAAAAACTTGTCTTTGTTTGGGCGGAATTATGTGTGAGTATCACGTCGATAAGCGGTGGGTTCCGTGTAACAATGGGGCATTGTTTGCCCGTTACCTCCTCACTGGAAAGGATCATGCCGTGTAAGGACGGCTAGTGCCCGTCCCGGTAAACGGTTGCTTAGCCGCGGAGAGGCAAAGGGAAATTCCGCTGACGATGCGCATTCACATGCAGAAGGCTTGTCGCTTACTTGATCGAAGTAATCTCGATCTCGACGCCAATGGCTTGATCGAGTGCGTATATTGCGCAGTACGGGTTGTAGATACCGATGCCGTACAGACCGCCAAGCGGTCACGACATATGGGTCGTGAAACACGGAGTGCAATGACGTTACAATGTCTCAATGTTGAATTTGTAGCATAGGATGCTGATTTTGTGATGCAATTCTACGTGCGTTGGGGGCCTGACAGTTCTGGTATCGTCATTCCAAGTCTGCTGGTCATACAAGATATCAATCATATCACTAGTAGGAACGATATGGTTATATTCCTTGTAGTACTTTGGAAATGCAGTTGAAAGCTGCGGCTCATGCCCGGTCGAATACTCGGTACACAGGACGCTTGTAGGGATGCATAGCGGGCCGTTGAGGCTACGTAGGCGAACTCCTCCGATCGACGATTGCCAAGAAAAGCGCCTCTTAACGTGCCAGTGTTCGTCATGCAGTAAATGGAAAGGCATCAGTTAGCTGGTCTGACTGAGAACCATACAAGGCCTTTAGACATCTTGGCGGGTAAAAACTAGCGTCTACTAGCACAGCCTCCTGGAACTAAGTTCAGGGTGTTGCTGTTCTGCAACGGAACGTGCTGGAAGTCTAGGAAAGTATAGGTTCGCTCGGAACTATTGTGGGCTAGAAGCAGGAAAGTGAACGTTGGACAAATCGGGCCATGATGCTCCAATCGAGCTTATGGGGGGAGATCGAGACATTAAGTGCAGAGGCATGCAAGGCTTCCCTATGCCTTGCGTGAGGGCTGAGGTATATCTGCAGCCTTGTTAATGAACACACAATAGGTCCGAGTCAGATACAGGGTTTTTGTTGAGTTACTCTTAGATGAACTCAGTAGGGGGTTTCCAGGCCTAGACCATGGGGTGATGCTACAGTACTATGTGTTGATACATGGTTGGTGTTCTAGGCGGTCGCATTCGGTTCCCCCAAAAAAATAAAGTCGGCTGTCCTGGCTAGGTAGGTCCAGTTGGATCGGCTTGCGGCGGCACTGTATTGAAACGGTGGTAATTTGCTGTTTACGGAGCATGGGGTTGAGGAACGTGGGGGAGAAAAGTGGCTGCGAAGATCAGAGAGGGGAAATCTGCAAGGCCCCCCTTCTCTTATTCTCCCAACCACTTTCACCTCGAACTACTAGATGATTCTGCCATGTTCCCCCGGAGAGGAGGCTCGTTGCACGGCACGGGCCCCTAGCGCACTCCGGGTCGGGCCATGTCACCGTGCCGGGGGATGGCAGTGTGTTGTAGTGGGTAGGCACATTAAACGCATGTCGAATGTCGGTTGACGTAAGCGGCGAGTTTGGCATGGGGGGCCTTGTCCGCACACTGTCAGCCAGTTGCGTCGTCCAGGTAGTCGTAATTCAACGCACATCACGTCATTTAGGTGCTTTGTAACAGAGTCGGATGATGTGCGGAATTTCAGAATGCGTGTGTAAGGTAAAGTGGAGCTGGTGTCGTCCAGTTGCATTGCTATAGCGTGATTGCGAAATAGCGTCGACCGCATGTCAGCGACCTGCAGCATCACGTGTCGCTTATCTGGCCAATCACGAGCTGTCGTTCATTCACGCCTAGAGAAATGATTTCCTGTTGCAGCTTAGCTTTCAGGCACTAGACCCAGATAGTAGTTGCCCAGGGAGCTCTGCAACAACAAAGGACTTCCTGGACGTTTGCCATAACCTAAGCCTTCCAGATCCGGGCCTGTCAAACAATCCGTCAGGAACCGCCAAGCTCGCCGCATACTCTCACCACAACGTTTATCCAGTCAGCACATAAACGGAGGGCCTCTCGTTGGAAAAAAGGACACTCCATCGATCCTGAACCTTCTCCAGCTTTCCTGTACAATATCAGAGCACCATATCATGGCCAAAAAACTCATCACTATCCTGGGTATTACTGGAACACAGGTGCGTATGTCGTAATACACACGTCGCAGCTTGTAAACAGACTAACGTTACGGGGCTCAGGGTGGTTCTGTAGCCCGTAGATTCCTCACCCACACCGGCTGGCGCATACGCGGACTCACGCGCAACCCTGGTTCCCCAAAGGCCAAGGAATGGGCCAACAAGGGTGTCGAAATCGTCAAAGGAGATCACGATGACTTGGAATCCCTCAAGGCTGCTTTTCAAGGTGCTCACGCCATCTTCGCCGTCACAGATTGGGCCGGCTGCTACTCGCGCGTGGCCGGGGACAAGACCCTTCAGAGCGAGGCAGCCAAGGCCGGCCTGTCTCTTGAAGAATACGCCGGTCACCTGGAGACCCTACAGGGCATCAACCTGGCAACAGCCGCTAGCGACCCCAACGTCCTTTCCACCCTCGAGAGATATGTCTTTTCCACTTTGGCGCCGGTCAAGCAGATCAGCGGCGGCAAGTACAAGAACTCGTACGAGTTTGACTCAAAAGCCGCAGCCGAACAGCACATCCGAGACAAGCTTCCGGAACTGCGTGCCCGCCTTAGTACCGTCAACATGGGCATCTTCCAGGAGACGTGGAGAGAAATTCCCGCATTTAGACCGCACAAAAAACCGGATGGCACGTTTGAATATATCCGTCTCAAATGCGACGGCCCGCACAAGGAATACCCAGAGGTTGTCGCGTCTCATGATACTGGTGCGTTTGTCGAAGCCCTGGTTCTTCACCACCCGCCCGGCACAGACGTCTTGGGTGCCAGCCAAATCATTTCCAAAGAAGATTACGCAGCTCTCTGGGCTAAGACGCAAGGAGTAGAAGCGACAGTGAGAGATGTCGACGTGGAAGAGTATATAAAGTATCTTCCGGAGGGCTTCGACAAGACTATGATTGACGATTTCCGGTTTTTCACTGAATACGGGTATGTGGGCGGAAACCCCAAGGTCAAGACACCGGCAGAGTTGGGTATCAAGACGACATCTTTGGAGAATTACTTCCGAAGCCAGGATTGGAGTGCCGTGTTGAAAGGGAAGATGTGATGTTGCTCGTCGACTGGTGTAACTCGATAATTTCCAACTGTAACATTCATATGACTGCACGCACATCAATTTTCGAAGAATCAACCTAATTATTCATAATAAATACTGACAAATATGCCTTCCCAGAACAAATGTGAAAGTAATCATTCATACATACCTCTTGCACGCCCTTAGTGAAACAATCTTGCTCAACATCTTGTTCCGCCGTTTTAATCCCCATCTTCCACCTCTTCAACTATAAATCCGGGCGTTGACAGTGGCTTCTCCCCTCTCAGACGACGCCATCGATTAGTCGATTCAAGAATTTCCGGACAGCCGATCATAAGCCAAGACCATCTTTCCAAAAACGGCTTGCTGACTTCCCAATTCTGCGGATCCCACGGCTCACCCCAGACCACGAGGCCTGTCCACTCGTGCTTGCCTCGACCCGAATCCATAATGTCGTCGAACAGCTCTTGCTCTTCTTCCGCAGTTAGATAGCTACTAGTCGCCAGCAGCAAGTTATCGCGCATGCGAGGGAGAGGAAACAAGTCGAGCCACGGATGGTGCCTGATCGATAGCTGTACCACGGTCGGTACCAGATTACTCGGCACGGTGCCACTTTCCAGCGGCGGCGTCGTAGACCTGGCATCGCGTACTGGGCCGTCACGTCCAAACGGCGAGACGGCGGCGCACACGAGCCAGTCGAACTGGTAACCTAGCACGGCAGCGTTGCGGGTGAGACCATTGATGATGTTGAACTGGATTAGCCGGAGTTTGTGGTCCGCACACGGGTCGCCCGTCATGTAACTTCTTAGCGCTTGCTCGGCAAACTGCTCTAGTATCGCGCGCTCCCGGGCCACGTCCTCTTCAGAGCAGTGGCTGAATGTCGAGGGCACAATTCTGGAAGTGCTGCTGCTTCTGCTGCTGCACAGCAAAGTCCAAGTGCCAGAGACGGTGGTGTCTGGCGTCGTGCTAGCCGCGCGGGACGCCGCATCCGACGAGTCGTCTTCATCATGACTTGTTTTCCGCCTTTTCCGCTGCCTTGCTGTATGTCGATACAAAAGCCGAGCATTAGACTTGGGCTGAGAAAACAGAATAGAGTTGTACATCTGGGATTGGGTGTCACTCACAAACGCGTTTGTTCAGTCTGTTCTGGAGCCTCTTGCGCTCCTTTGGGTTCGTTATGCCCGCCCAGTCTTCGCCCGGTCGTCGTATGTATGCTGCA